CCAGGGGGGCCCTCGGCGCCTCGGCCAGACGGACGAGCCGCTCCCGTCACATGAGCTGAGTCCTGCGGTCAACCAGGAGCTAACTTACGAGAGCTATAGTCGCCGTCGCCATCTTGCGTCCGTCGCGGCCGCCGCGCGCGCCACACGCTCCGGCTCCCTGCGCGGTCTCGCGCGATATAGGTGCTGGCGGAGGCCTCCGAGGGAAGACGGAACTATCGCGATAAAAGGCCCTTTCAACAGAGAAGTGGAAGGAGAAAGGAGCGCGCTTCCGGAGCAGGACAGGCCGGACGGAAGGGGCGGGCCCGATAGACGGGGCGGGGCCAGGGCCGGAGGGGCGGGCGCGCGCCGCGGGCCGAGGCCTCTCCGTCTGTCCAATCAGAGCCCGCTGCTGCGTTTCTCTGCCTCCTTCGCAGCACTTAGGTGCTGTCTCCCCGTCGCACCCGAGAGCGGGACGGAGGTCGGCCTGGCTCCCTCCAGGTCTGAAGGAGTCGCATCCGCCCAGACGGTCGAGAGAGGTGACAAAGTCGCCGTATTTCGTCCTAATGCATCCTAACATTTCTGAAGTCAGGGTGCGCCTACCAGTGGGTGGTATGTCCTCATTTAATGGAAAAGGTTTTCTCTTTCCTAGTGACTCATAAACGGTGGCGTTGTAAGCCCAGTGACGCACAGGCGGGAGAAGTGCAACCCACCGGAAGGGTATGTCCCCAGACTCCCTTAGTCCCTCAACGAATTCTTAAAGGCTCAAGGTGCCTTTCCCTGGCTTGGAGCTGGCCTGGACTTTTGCCACTTGGGGCACCCAGTAAGCTCGGGCCCGAGGTTGTCAGCCCCGCAGCTTCAGCCTTCCTGAAGCAACCGTGTCTTCCCCAACTAGGCAGGTCTCTTCTCAACCCCGGGAGAGCTTAAAATGAAATATACGCATGGCTAGTTAAACATGGCAGAATATTTTCCTCATTTTCCTCCCCTCTAAAATGATGGGGAAAGGATTCTATAAACGCAAAAACCCATGATGACAGGGAGGTGGAATATTGCAGGGCTGGAGGAAGGTGGACAGTGAAAGTGGTTTTAGCAGACTACAGCTGTGTCATGCATGAAAGTGCAGTTGGTAAAGGAGGAGACCCCAGACCCCAGACCTCTCTCCCTCTGGACAGTGGCAGGGAGGTGAGCTCTGGCAGAGCTCTGAGGACTGGCCATTGGGGCAGGTCCTGCTGTGAAAGTTGGGGAGTGAGACTCCTGCCCTTTCCACCATGTGCCACTAGGATCCTCAGAGAGGAGAGTTCCTCTGCATCAGCTCCTAGCTCGGAAGAAGACAGACAGCTGTGTGTGGGGGGGTGCTCAAGAGATTGGCCTAGATTGGCTAGATCTGTGGTCTCGGGCAACAAGCCCCACTGCTAAGAACGTCTCACTCTTAAATGGAAAGAGGAAAAAGACAAAGGAAAGGTGTCTCCGAAGGAACAGAGACAGTAAGGCAAGAAGGAAAACTACAATTAGAGCCTCAGAGACACTGAAGAGGGTGTTGCATTAAAAAACAAGAGGCTCTAAAGAAAGAACATTCAGCAAACGAAAGAGCTTACAAATGAAAAATATGAGAGGAAAACAATTCAATAGAAGGGTTGAAAGATAAAGCTGAAACCTTCCAGAATGTATAACAACAAAACTAGATAGCTAGAAAACAGAAATTGTAATCATCATGCTAGTCAGTACTGTCCAGAGCTTAGACTAAGCCAGACATCTCAGGCCTCCGTAATGGGGGGGATGGCTGAAGGGGTGGGTGGCTGAGGTTCGTTCGCCTCCACCATGGGGGGCGGGGGACATAAGCAGCCACACCCATGCTCTAGTGGCAGCTTCCCCTGTGAAACTGGTATGTAATATGGCACTCAGTGTGGTCATGGCTGAACACTGTTCTCATGACACACCTCACCTCGTGTGATCCTCACAACACACCATGGAGTGGGTGCTATTATCCCCATTTTCACAGATGACAAAATGGAGGCACAGACCAGTATCACATAGCAAGAAGCAGCAGAATGGCTCCAGAGCCTGGGCCCTTGACCATCACACATTGTGCCTCTCAAAAGACAAGTCCAACATCTAAATGACAAGTTACAGAAACTAAGGAGAGGGGTAAATCCACAAATAAACAAGTAAAAAAAAAAAATTTAGAACCAAAGGGTTGGGATCTCTGGACAACAGATGGAAGAGGTCTACATCAAGACATGTTGCTGAGAATTTTCAAAGCACTGGGGCAAAGAGAAAATCCAGAGAGTGAGAGCTGGGGGCGGGGGAGAATGAGTAGACCATTTCTTGGGAAGTAATGGCTCTCAACTTAGCTAAACTATTGTATCTGGGCACACTGACGAGCAGATGTGAGTTCAATAAGAACAAACATGCAAAGTTCCTACGACTTTCCATGCATCCTCTCCCAAGAAACTTGGAGTATGTTCTTCCTCTAACAGGGCCAACAAGAGAAGGGGAAAGCATGAGATCCAGAGACCAGCAGAAGATGAAACTGAGCAGTCATTTATGCAATGAGTCCCCCAAATTGAGAAGTTTCTCCCTTCTGCAGAAGAATGTAAGGATGAATTGAGACATGTATAGAAAACTAAGTAAACAAACAAAAAGGACAATTATTAACTCCAGGGAAAATAGAAAGTTGTGCAAGAAAGCAAATATAATCCTTGGACACTTTGTTCTTTGCTAAGACCTGTGGTAACGAAGCTGTAATAATACTCATCACTCTGAGATGATACTGGGTCAGAGGATTGAGGCCAGTGACCCACCTCCCTTCCCGAGAGGATACCAGCAGGGGACACCTAATGTAAAACATACAATAAAAAGCAATGAAAGCATGTGTGGCCTTGTGAAACATGGGTTTTAAATGACTGAAGAAACAGCTAAGAGTGAATTTGGAAAGGATCAGGGTTAGAGACTACATTTGTTGTTTATTTATTATTTGCCTAAAAAAAATTCTACTTTTTAAAATAATATGCATTTGATAAAATTTAAAATGAAAACCTCAACATAAATGAAGCAATGGTAGTATGGAGAGTTCTGAGTCCAGTTTAATCGCTGGTACAAACTGTTACTCATTTGACATCAAACTGTGTAAGACAATGTGAATCAGACAGCTTAGCATCAGGATTTCCAACTAGGCATGTAAATTATTTTAAATTTGTAATTTTAGGCTGAAAGGTATGAGAATTTGAATAATATTGTAGAGTGTTGAAATGTTTAAGATAACTTAAGATTCACTATTTGCATTTAATTTATTTCCTATGCCTTGGTAAATTTTTGTCTTGGGATTTGGTTAGGGTCATGCAGTAGGTGAAATACTGACACCCCACCCCCCAAAGATGTCCATGCCCTAATCCCCAGAACCTGTGAAGGTTACTGTCCATGGCAAAAGGACCTTGAGATGGGGAGACTATCATGGATTGCCCAGGTGGACTCAACCTAATTATCTGAAGCTCTTCTGGCTGCAGAAAACCAGACAGGTGGTTCATGAGAAAGACTTAACCTGATGTTACTGGCTTTCAAGATGGAGGATGGGGCCATGAGCCAAGGAATGTGGCAGCCTCTAGAAGCTGAGAATGGCTTTCAGTTTACAGCAGGCCAAAAATGGGGACCTCGGCCCTACCACTGCAAGTAAATGAATTCCTGCCCAGCGCCCAGGGCCATGCCATGCCTGACACCACAAGCCAAACACCAACCTAAAGGAGCAGGAACTGGATCCTCCCCTAGAACCTCCAGAAAGAAATGCGGCTGGCTAACACCCTGATTTTAGTCTGGCGAGACCTGGGCCAGACTTCTCACCTATAGGACCATAATAAATTGGGTGGTTTTGAGAGACTAAGTTTGTGGTAAATTCTTGTAGCAGTAATAAGCAACTGATATAGTGGTGAGCTTCCGTGGTTTGGCATTTGAAATGCTTTAAAGAATACCAAATACACTAAATTTACACATGCATTTAAAAATGTTCAAGAGTGTTTACATTTGAAAAGGGAGGGGAGGTGGTCCAAGAGAACCAAGAGCCCAGGGTAATAGGGGGTGGTAGGCAGAACCCAGGGAGGCAGCTGCCATGGGAGGAGGTGAGGGCAGTCACTGGGAGATGGTGAGTTTGGAGGAAGTGCAGTGAGGTGCAGGGAGGAAATCTGACATGACCCCTCCGGGCCAGGGAAGGTGGGAGAAAAAAGAGCCCTTTGGAGGGGGGTGCAGGAGCCAGAAAAATGTCAGCAGAAGGGGTGGCGGAGCGGTCCCAACCTCAGAGCAGTGCAAAATCAGAGAGGGACTCTAGCGCAGGTCTTCATTGGACATTGGATGGAGGTGCAAGAACCACATGGTGCTGGGAACTGGGGTGTCTTGGAGTGTCTCTGCCGTGTTCTTTTCCCACCAGGTCACAGTCCTCCTTAGCACCCAGCACCCTGCCTGATGCCTGCAGGTGCTTGACCATTGACTTAAGGTGAGGGTTCCTTGTGTGAGTCTGTGGTACTCCCAAACGATGGCTCCCTGAAGGGGAACCTCCCCCATTTGGTGGGCTCAGGCACTGACCAGACAGCTTGGAGGGTGGGGTAAGGATCTTGGACAGCAAATGGAGGATATGGGAAAGAATGGTGAATTGTGGAGGCAGGCTGGGTGAGGGAATCCTGGTCCTAAGCATGTGTATGGCCTAGTCACAGCCCCCCATTGGTGGACTCCCTTGTGGGCCCAATCCCAATGCCCTCACCCCAGCCAGGGCCTCTCAGCAGCTGTGCAAGGCAGAAGGAGGTTCCTCACTAGCAGGCTGTGGTCCTCAGCCCCCAGGCACACAGGCAGAAGGCAGCCCCTGGTCTCCAGACCCTCGGTGCCTGGCTTTCACATGTGGTCCACCAGGTGCCCTGTCACTGAGCTCCCCGGTACTTGAGGAAGGCGCTCTCCAGGAAGGCAGCCAGCTTAGTTCGGTCCTCCTGCAGGGTGGGAGGTTGACATGGGGGATGGGCCACGGCCCACCCTTCCCCCTCCCAACCAGGCTAGGCCCTGCCTGCACACCTCGTGGACAAAGCCATAGTGCACGAGCTCCGCTGCGAGGTCCTGGGCGCTGTCAGCTATGGCAGGGGCACGGGCGGGGACGTGGGGGGCAAGGCGTGAGGCCACCGCGCCCCCTGTGCCCACCCCGGCCCAGGGTCCCCATCCGGGTCCCTGCCCAGCCTACTTGGGAGCAGGTCGTAAGTGAGCTGCCGGTGCAGCCGGTCCTCCAACACCAGAAGCAGAGTGAGCTGGGGAGGCGGGAGGGCAAG